GTCTATTCATGAGAAAGAATAATCAGTGAAAAGTAGGTTGGAGGAAGAAGAATGATAGGAAAATACAATAGGAAGAGGCAGAAGGGAGCATGTCTTTAAATCCAAATTGTTATTTCTGGTCCATTAAAATATCAAAATCTAAATTAAATCTGCTGGCCTCCAAATAAAACTGTCAAAAATGAGCCATAATTCAAGTACCATACAGACAGAGAGGGTCAAGAAAATCTATTGATTTAACATTGATAGCTTATGAATATTGGGCATGGTTTAATATACATATTTTTATAAAATTCTCACATTTTATCAAATGTATGGCATGACTATCAATATGCTTTTAGATGGGGAGAAATAAAACACAAGGGGCCCAGATCAAGTAAGATAGTCTTTATGCTACACTTAAAAAGAATCTTTCAGGTTGCTCACATTGAGAAGATAATTACCACACCCTAAGTAATTGTAACAAGGGTAACAGAAAAGGTATCTCTTATCTCCTTTCATGAAAGACATAGATTATTTAGGGGGGAAATGCCATGCACTAACTTTGAATATCCTTTGGATTACGGCTCCAATAAACTGCATTTAACGGGGGAAGACATACATGCTTCAGAAAGGAGACACAATTAAGCTGCAACTTCTCCACCTGCCTCACATAGACAGCTTAACACCACCCAATTAAAAAATCCAAACAGGGCCTCCCCGGTGGCGCAGAGGTTGAGCGCTGGGTTGCGAAGCTGCCCGCGGCCTCTGCAGCGTCGGTTCAATCCCTGGCTGCTCCCTGGCCACCGGAGGTGGATCCCACATGGCGCGCAGACCTCTCCTGCCGCCCGCTGCTCCCCTCAGCAGTGTACTTCGATCCTTCTGCCTGCTCTGCTCCCCACTCTGGCTCTGGTGAATTCTCTCACCCTCCTGCGCTTCTGACTGTACCCAGTGCTTATGTAAAATAAATAAATAAATAAATAATAAAAAATAAACACAGAACTTAAAAAAAAAAAACTTAAAAAAAATAAAATAAAAAATCCAAACAAAGGGCCTCTTTAGTTCACTGCTTGCTAGAAACATCTTCAAGATGCATTTTCATTTAACTGGGGCCTTTCATGAGCTCTTAGTATCTTAGAGTTGTCCTGTCTTCCAGACTTACCTCATTAAATTTCAAGTAATTTTTTGTTTAAAGTCCACTTTTTTTTTTTTAAAGATTTATTTATTCATGCAAGCACTGGGTACAGTCAGAAGCATGGGAGGGTGAGAGAATTCACCAGAGCCAGAGAGGAGAGTAGAACAGGCAGACTGACGAAGTATACAGCTGAGGGGAGCAGCAGGTGGCAGGAGAGGTCTGCGCTCCATGTGGGACCCTCGCCCGGCAGCCAGGGATAGAACCAGTGCTGCAGAGGCTGCGGGCAGCTTTGCAACCCAGTGCTCAACCGCTGCGCTACCAGGGAGGCCCTAAAGTAAAATTTTTTAAAGTTCTTTTTCCTTGCTTGGAAAGTGTTATTTTTAAACCTTTCAATTCAATTGACTTCCAAAGATGACAGCAACTTCAACTGAAAAGCATCTTTAAACTCAGAAAAGCTTGGAAGGTTTTCTAATAAAGAAAGATCTGATCAATAGTGTTATTGAAAATATGACTAGATATAGAGTCACATTTATCTGTAGTTGTGGCTTTTATTAAGGCAGCTTAAATCCTTTGCAAATAAGCTTTTCTGAAGGGTTGGATCAATAGGGTGCACAGGCAGGCAGGATTACCCGTGATCCATAGTGCAAGATCCCATCAATGCCACAGGAACAGCAGGGGCAGTGGAAACATAAGAATATGAAGACTCCTGCCACCTCACCCTCCAATGGAAGCCCAGTTTCTGTGGCTATCACTCACACTGAGCCTCATTTGCAAATGGTTTGGCTATTAACGTAGGATTATTCAATGAAAATATTTCTTTCCTAGAGGCACAGCTCAGTTGAAAGGGGCGGTTGAAAATTAGTTAGCAGTATGGGAGAAGAAAGCATCGTTCCAGTTACCAGGGGGGAATAATTGAACACAGATAGCCTGTTGCGCCTTTAATTTAATTTGGAGACCTTTCATCTTTTACTTTCCTTCATTTGCAGCCAATGCTTAGTGAGCTAATTTGTACCTGGTTCATTTTCCTGCTTTTATCTTATCTACGTTAACATCAAGCATGGAAATTAGAAGCGCCATGAATAAAAGATGAAGCCTAACTTGGGACATTTTTTCCTTAAGTACTGCGAATTACTTTAAAAACTAATTTGTGTGTGTTCCCAATAGAAAGGGCTGAAATATATGCTTGGCCCTACAACATCCTTGATCAGCATCTTTTCTCCCCTCAAGGAGCTGCCGTTTTTTAGATGTTTTATCTGGATCTACCTTTTTTCCAAGAGAGTCATCTAGACTGTCGTCCACACAGAATCATTAATACTAGAAGTGGTGTAGAGCAGACCCTAGCATTAATGCTCAGGATTAAGGATGCACAAATCCCACTAACTTGACTTTTTGGGGAGCTCAATACTGCTTGCAGTGCAAGGAAAAGAACGTACTGTAAACAAGAAAACAAGGTGTCAACATATATGCCCAGCAAACAGATACCTACACTGTCCAAAAGTAATGTGTATGTATGCTGGGGGGAGGTGCTGAGGGAGAAAGGGAGTAGTGGTAAAATTACTATCTGGGAGTAACCTTTAGAGAATTTAAATTCTATCATACATAGTATGCTTTTAAAAAATCCTTTCTGCCGTGTATTTAGTATACTTGGCATTTCTCAGTAAGAAATAGTTGCAAATACTCTTACTTTGATTGCTTCATTTCTTCTAACTGTACAAATCTTCTTGTCTTGAAAGTTTTGTATGTTTTTTTCCTTACAGTTTCCTGTTGGCCAATACTAGTTTTTCTCCTTGACCTCTCTTTATCTTCTCTCAATCTCCCACGCCCCCTTCCCATGGACTAATGGAAAAACCTACTGAATTCGTCTCTCGCTGCCTACTATCCACCACCACCAAGCCCTCCTTTCAGTTTGGAAAGCATCAAAGGATGACTGTTCTGAATGGTCCCACTGCCTTTATGTGCCAACTCTTCCTCTCATCTAACACCTCACACCCACAGGCTAGAAGGTGGGATTAAACTGAAAATCTCTCCTTTAGAGTCAATCTCCCTTTAAAGGTCAATTACTAATGATGTGCGTTATTTTACTCACACAAGACTACACACATATTCACAGGTTAGGCAACTTCCAAGTTGTAGAAGAAAAAAAGGACTTGGGTTTAAAATTATGGGGTGCTGACAGGGGACTGAGGTGATGGTGCACCGGGGCACTGGTGAAGGATATTCCATGGGGACTACACCTGGAGGGTGGGGGAAAGCAAATATTGTTTAAAAATGAACAATGGTGTAAAAAATTAATAAATAAGATAAAATTATAGTGTGTTGAGATGTAAAGGTCTCCTTCTCTTTGGAACACAAACTGTCTTCAACAGAGAAAGAGTATGCAAATAGGCTCAAAATAAAAGATCAACTTAAAAAATTCAGAGGCTATTTTTAATCTTGGTTAAAATAAAGACCCTACTATATAATGCCAAACTTCATTTCTACTGATGAAACCTGGGAGGGGGTGGGGAAAGAGGGAGGGTAATGCTACGTTGTAAAAAGATAGAGAAAAAAATATGCAGCACAATTACATATCATTTTATTCATGAAAGAGAGGATGAATAGAAATGAAGGTGGCAAATACAGTTAAGAAATAGATTTTTAAAAGTCAAATAGGCAGAAAAATTAAACTGGATGAGTAGTTCTGGTCTGAAGTTAAGAAAGTTAAGAAAGTTAAGCAAATAACAAGATGCAAGTATGGGGGTATGTGATTACTGCACACACACATTACCCAGTATACTTGGGAGGAGGGATTAGGGATGATGGAGGTTCTTTGAGGCAGGAAGGCAAGGAATTTTGGGTAGAGGAAGACAACATTCCCACGGGATGTCAAAAGAGCCAAGATTTTTTTCAATTTCAGTTACACCTGTTGGTGTGCGAGGAAGAAACTGACAAACCTTGTAACCCAGTCTCATTTGCAGAACACGAACACAGACATTGCAAAAACACTGGCCTCAAGCAATAACACCTGTTTTAGCTCCGCGCCCGCCGGCTCTGTGCACTTGTGATTTTCAGAGGGAAAAGTGGCTTCTCCGCCGCAGGGGGCCGGGCTGCGCACAGGACCGCACCGCGAGCCCGAACCGCGAGCCCGAACCGCAATCCCGCACCCCCGCCCTCCCCCGAGGCTGGGCTCATTTGCCCAAGATAAGCCCTTGGAAATAGATCGGCCAACGCAACCGGGCAGTCCCAGGAACACCTCGGCCAGCCTAAACGCTACAACCACAGAGCAGCACAGTCTCAATTCATTTGCCAGGGGGTTTCCTTGGAAATCAGGCAACATTCCAGCGCCAGAAAGGGCCGTGGCGGAGTGCGGGAAGACCTCCGCGGCGGTCACTGTTTTCACGAGTGACCATTTCTGTGCTGGCAAACGGTTCCACGGCGATTTGTTTCTGCGCTGACTTTCAGCCTCCGCCTCTACCTTCCCCAATCCGGCGCTAGACTCGAATCGCACCTGTGCGCGCCGACAGGCCCCGGCGGGACCGAGCCCGCCCGCGCCCACCTGCCTCGCGCGCTCCTCCCAGCTCGCCTCGCCAGCTGGGCGCTCCCGGGCCGCCGCCGCTCTGCGGGGAAGCCAGGCGCGCCTCACCTGTGCGGGGCCAGGCGCCCCGCCTCCCAGCCCCCCAGTCACCGCGGGGCTCTCACCCACCCTCCACCCCCTCGGCCAGGGGCAGGAGGCTACAAAGCCGCGGGTCCGGAGCGCTCCACCCGGAGTCCCGAGAGGACGCCCCGAGAAGTGAGGACTCAAAAGTGCAGCCGCGGCGTGGGGAGCGCGCGGCGCCGGCCCGGCCGGCCCAGGGACCCCCCTCTCCCGCTCTACCCCCCCCGCCCCCAGCGGGGACAGGCCGGCCGCTACCTCCTGAAACAGCTCCAGACTGTAGGTGTTGTCGTCGTCGGCGAAGAACAGGACCCCGGGCTGCGCCGCGCGCTGGTGCTGGTGCCTCTGGCGCAGCCAGGCGAGGCCGGCGTTGCGCTGCTCCGTGGCGCGCGGCAGCCCGGGCCGCTTGTAGCGCCGCGGCGTGGGCACGTGCAGGTGCGTGCTGGGCAGCCCGGCCCGCGCCAGGAAGCGGCTCACCAGCTCGCTGCGCGCCGCCGCGTCCTCCACCAGGATCCAGTGCAGCTGCGCCACCTGGCGGAAGGTGTTGGCCAGGCGGGTCAGCTCGGCTTTCTGCACCGGGCGGCTGTAGGTGGGCGTGATGGCATAGATGGTGGGCAGCGACGACTCCGCGGGCGGCTGCGGTTGCGGCTGAGATTCGTTGCGCTTCTCCGAGCAGCGCCGGGCGCCGCTGTCAGGCCCGCCCCTGCGAAGCGGGATTCGGGCGCCCCGGCGGCCCACCACGTAGGGAGAGAAGTAGGGGCGCGGGGTGAGCTGGGGCGCTGGCCTGCGCGTGTCCACGTCGAGCATGATGATGACGATTAGGATCCAGGGAAGGAGGATGAAGAAGCGACTGAACAGCACGGACTTCATGGTGCACTCGCCCTGGCCTCTCGGACGCCCCTGAGAGGGGCGAGCCGGGGGACCCCAGCGCGCAGTTTGGACGGCGGCGGCGCCCGCTCTCAGGAAGCCGTGGTCGGCGCGCGATCCATGGGTGGGAGCGCTGCGGGGACCCGGAGCCGCGGGGCTCGGCGCAGGTGCCAAGGAAGCGAGCGCAGCGGGGCGAGTAGGCAGGCGAGCGAGGGCTGCTCCCCACTCCCGATGAGCTGGCGGGAAGCGGGAACAGTCCGGCCGCGCGTGGCTAGCCCTGGAGTTGCGCGGGGCTCCGGGGCGCCGGTGATCCCCCCGCGCGCTTTCGGAGGAATGGAGCTGCTCCCGTCCCGCGACGCGGAGGGCGCAGGGACTCCGGCCGCGAGCCCCCCCAGCACTCTCGGGGGCCCCTCCGAGGGCGGGAGGCGGGCTCCGGGGGCTTTCCGCGCTCACATCCCGGGCGGGGCGGCGAGGGCCGGGAGGGGACGCCGGAGCTGTGTCCCCAGCTCTGTTCGCGCGCCGCGGCAGAAGCCAGCGCTCCAGTGCCCGGCTCTCGCAGAACCTCTCCAGGCTCCAGCAGCAAGATCCCAAAGCAAGCAAAGAAAGAAAAGGCAAGGAGGCGGGGGCGCTGCAGACTCTAGCGTCCTCCAGCCCGCCTGTGGGAAGACAGCGCTGCTACTGGCAGAGAGGGGCCGAGGGGGGGCGGGGAGCGAGCGCCTGCTCTCCCCGGGTCTGCGCTGACGGCCCCGCGGGCTGGCTCGGAGGGCGGCTGCTGCACCGCGGGGGGCGGGGAGGAAGGAGGGACCCCGCGAGGCTGCGCGACATCCAGGGGTGGGTGCGTGCCGCGCGCTCTGAGCTCTCGGAAATACTGCAAGGGCTTTGTAGATCCGCCAGGAAACCCCATTCACGTGTGGAAAACTCGGGGGACCCAAGTGAGGAGAGAGGAGGGAGAGGGCAAAGAATTCCTTCTTTGGCTCCCAACTGCGGGGTTGGGGTGCTGGGGTTGCAACAAACAGCGGCCACAGAAAACGCTTTCACTGAAAGGCAGAGATCAATAGTGGCCCGGGGGATCCGTAGACCGAGGGGTGCCTCGCGGTGCTGCACAGAGAGGTTTGGCGCCCGAGAAGCCCACAAGCATCAATCCAAAGGGTTGCTGCTGCTGGACCACTGAGGGGAAATCGCTGAAACTCCAGCCGAGTATGTTTAACTTATTTTTCTACAGTAATTTGGAGTCACAGTTCCTCGCAGTTCGTTGCGATCAGAATTATTCCTTTTGACCCTTCCAAGCCTCTTTTCAAGGAGGCCTGGGAAGTGCGATCACCTTTATTTTCTGGATGAGGAAGCGGTGGCTCAGAGTTTGAAGTGGTTGCTCAGAGGTCAGTGGCAAGTGGCCAAGAGAAAATAGAACGTGGATTCTCGGCCAGTGGCTTCCTCACTGCCCGGCCTGCAGAAATCGTTACCGACATAGGGACTGGAAGGAGTTGACCCTCCTACATATAAACATGAAGCAATAAAAATCAAACAGCATATGACATACAGAAACCATGACAGTGTCTGGAAGACAAGTAAGCAACTGGCGCTTAGGCTGCATTTTTTTTTTTTTTTCTATCTAACGAACCTCCTAGCTCAGTCTCTGACTGTGGGTAATGTACCAGGAAAACAAGAGGGGCCACACTTCTTAGTCACGCCCCAGGGAGGTGCCTGCAAAGCAGCAGGAAAAGCCTCCCCCAACCCTCCAGCCTGTGATAAATAATTTCCAAGCACATCTTCCCTTGGTTGTCTGTCTTCCCAATCTTGTTCACAAATAAATCCCTCCAAACGCACGGTCTTGGTAAGGGAGAGATGGTAAAGCTCTGGAGCAGATGCACCTCCAGCCTTTCTGACATTTCCTCAGCCCTACCCTCGCTGCTCCAGCCTATTATCACGCGCTGGTGCCTCTGTGAATATTCCTAACTTCCCCTTGAAAGTCTGAAATCTGGTAGTGAAATTCATAGATTTGACAGTTCCCCCCCACCCCTTTCTATTCTGATTTCCCTGTATCATCCACAACTCATACTTCAAACTCGGCAGTTTATTACATCCTAAACATAGGAAACAGTGAATTCATTAGACCCCTTCCAGTATCCTTAGATTCTCTGCTAGCCTAATGGGCCTCTACATAACATAAGCTCTCATGGAAAAAGGTGTCTTGATCAGGTCTCCAGGGTGCGTCTGTAGAAATCAATGTCAGCATCTTGCTGGACATGAAGCAATTCAATGAAAGCTCTTCTTAAATACTAGGAAGTACAATAGTACACACACACACACACACACACACACACACACCACACAACCAGGGAAAATTGCTGAAGTGTCCTTCATCCTGTTGAAATTTGTTAATGTAGTTGAAGAGAAATGCCTTGTGTTACCTGGAGTACAGCTCAAGTGATTACTGAATTGTACCCAAAAGCACCATTAAGAGGGGGGGAACTCTTGGATATTCTAGTATACCATTAAGCTATTTACCAATTGCTCCTTCCCCAGCAACCAAGACTATTCAGAGATTTCAAAAGCAATCCAATTTTGGCATTTAAGTTGAGATTTCAACTGGTGTGCAGAATTCATGGAGTCATTAAACACCTAGCTACCACATACACCTAAAGGAAGGTCACTGTATTTCTATGATCCTTAGTCAACATTTATACCAAGTTTTCTGCACTCTGTCCTCTGATGGAGACAACAAGGTCCTGAATAGAGTCAGACAGGCTGGGTTTATTCCTAGCTAGACTGTTTGGGCAAGTCTAGAAAGTCAGTGACTCTCTCAAAGATTCAGTTCTCTCATCTAGAAGACAGAGCTAATAATACATCATGGAATCTCGTAAGAGATAGGTTAGGTAAAGTATTTCATAGAGATGGCATTATGCAAGCACTTAATAAATGGTATTTAAAAAATTCAAATAAATACAAGTAACAATTCTTTACAAGAATATCTTAACCCAGGACACCACAGGATTGTCACTACACAGGAATATATAATAAAGACCATTCTAAACTTACTGACAATGCCTCTACAAAGGGCCTCCACTTCTCAGGAAGGCATTAGTGAGTGTAGGTAGGGTAGGTGGGGTAGGGATTGGGGAGAAAAAGGAAACAAATTTACACAAATATAAGGTGCAATCTGTCATGCAATAAAGATAATCCCATGTGACATTTATCACAAACAAGTGAATATGTCATATTATTTTATATTCAGTGATGCAAAAATGTAGACCCACCATCTTGTATGATCAAATCTGAGTAAAGGTATAGATACAAAAAAAAAAAAAAAAGGGATGGTTTTTACAAAACCAGAGTAAAAACACTTGTAAAGTACAAAATTTTATTATTCTTCAAAAAAAGTTGATCAGGTACTGGAATTGAAATGACTCATTTAAATGGAAGCTTAAGGAAAATGTCATTTTTATGAAACAATCACTGGGAAGCTATAGTACTTTTCCATATAGTTTATGATATTCTTTCATAAAATAATTTAAACGTGATCTGTGGCTGATAATGAAGGTTGGTGGAAATCACCAGGGTAATTAAAATGATTACCTAACTTCAGAGCTTCTCTACATCTCCCAGTGTTTATTTTCATTTAATCTCTCTAATTATTTGTGTAACAAAGTGCGCATTGCTTCATCTGTACTAATGAAGCTTTGGATTGCTGGCATCAGACATAGCATATCAGCATTCAGCTGTTGTTCTCAAACAAAGGTAAAAAAAAAAATCCCATCTGGAGAGTTAACAAAAAAAAAAATACCGTATAATCACTAAACATTTACATTTTGCCTTGATGAGTAATATGTGACTAACTTCTGCAGCACTAAGATTGCAGCATGATTAGTGCACTCTATAGAATTGATCCCATTTGACATTTGAGCTGAGGTTCTGCTAGTTGTGACTAAATCAATTTTCAAGTGAGTGTTTGGGGACATTCTTGATAGTCTTAGTGAAGTAAGAAAGAGATCAAGGAAGGAAACACAAGTATTTGTAAATATCTTTATTGTATGGGTATGCAAATCAGGTTGCAAAAAGACTCAGAATTAATTTGTGTGTCAGCAATAATGTAAGGTGAAGGTATTGATAATCTATACCTAAATGCATGTGAATATACTTTGTTAAAATATCAAACGCAATTATGTGAATGATGTAAATATTAATCATTCTAATAGCTCCAAATTCCAGAGATACATGACAGTTTCATTGATAACTGTCAGAAAAATGAAATCCAAACTACAAATTAAATGGCTCATTTGGTTGTTTTATTTTCATGCATCTGGATCCTCTATAAATAACAGTTTTGGCCTAGAATTGTTCTCAATCATATTACTTCCTTAAAAGTTTTAAACATTTGCAGCAATTGTATACAAAATATTACATTACAGGTAGTTAACTTAATGAAACCCTTTTTTATAGGATGGGTTGTGATAAAGTTTATTCAATAAAAGTGGTTTTCTAGAAAAATAGAAATTCTCAATTTATCCTAATAATTTTATTGAAAAATAATCCCATTCAGTTTGAATAGTTGAAAATAAAACATGCCAGTGTTCCTGATTTTCCCTTTATTAATGAATTCATGAATTAATTTATGAATGAATTAATGAAAATCCAATAAACCTGACATAAAGGCACATAAACATTTTTTATATTTTTTTCTTTCACCATCTTAAAAATTGGCATTTACATAAAAATAGTAATTTGTTAGAAATGGGATTTTACTATAAAATACATAACCTGCCTTTCAGAGTTATTATGAGATCCAAAAAGATAATGCAGATGAAAGTATTTTAAATGTTGTCAAGTAGCTTATACATGCACCCAATCTCAGATTGGATCTCTGAAAGTCTTTAGGAAATTGGGTCAGCAGAGTTCATAGTTGTCGGAGTGAGGAGGTTACATATGGGGGTTCTCTATGTTATTGGGTCTATTTTTATATGCTTGAAAATTCCCGTCATAAAAAGTACAAATTCACAAATTAGGTTATTATGTACTACATCATATTTACCAAGACAATGCTGCA